TGCCGGTATAGACGTCTAGACACAAAGTTATCCAGGTAGAGTTGGTAGGTGAAAAATACGAAATACTAAGTGCAAGCTCTGCCAATACCTAGTAAATGTGAAGTTTAATCGTCATAAGATGATTGCGATTGAGAGTGTCATGCAGAATAAAGTCATGCTTGTTGTATCTACTGGCGCATTGTGTGGGTTGCAATCAGGTTGCATTATTGTGCATTACAATTATAGAAATACACGTAGTGGATTTGAGTGTTGGTTGAACTTGTAGCTGTTACACTCTGCTGGATGTCGTGAAGTCTCTCCTCTACCTCATTGAAAATCCTAATTTTGAATCGCCAAACAACTCATTTGGATCCCTGGAGAACAAAAGCCTATTGGAAAAGAAGACGATGCGGGTGCTGGCAGGTTTGCCGGTGAATGGACAGCGATTTGCGCCGAACAAGGCGTGGTGCGAATGGGCAGAGACCCACGGATGCTTTCCAATTGGTGAGGAAGAGGATGACGACGATGATGATATCGAGGGAACGAAGGAGAATAGGGCGGAGGCGAGTTTCGTGGATGCCGTGCAAGAATCAGACAGTGAGCACGGCAATATCTCTGATGACCTTGCCTTTGCCTACAAAGTAAGTGTCGCGAATCGTGTTTATTCAACCCCTTAATCCGGTCGCTCCACCTCCTAAACAGGGTTCCCCTTTTCGCAGCATGTCGCTAGCCGCACGAATCCTCAACTCCCTCTTCATGAGCACAAATATTTAACTTGGAGCATCCCCATACCTAGGTCTCGATGTTAGTGCATATATGACTCACACATCCGAGGTATAAATACATACGCGCAAACCCCACACACGACACAAAGACACCAACGAGGTTGAGCTCTGAAGTAAACGGTTGTGTCCATCCTCTCTGGTCTTTTCCTTCATCGCGGGTATCAGGGAAACGTAATCGGGCCACGGTTAATTCCGTGGCCCTGACGAAATTCAGGACTACATGCTGGAGCCCACACCATAAGTAACGTGGACTACTTATTGGCGGTCAGCTCTGTTCTCCTGAGGTACACCACTTCTGCAGAAGTAATCTTGTGTTCTAACGATTGTTCAGACAATTTACTTTACAGCCAGTTACCAAGTCGACTTGCCATTAGTGTTTTGTTTCATACTAGTTTGTGAGTTCCTAGCTCGGTAAAAAGTCGGTTTATAAAGTCGCGTGTTTGGTGAAGTGTCCTCCCATCAAGTGATTCTACTGTGTTTCCTTTTACAGAAAGATGACAGTGAAAACGTTGATGATGGTGCAGCTGTGTTTGACGAAAATGTTCTCTCATTTGCAAATATTCGATTTTCCCTTGATTCAGAGAATGAATCACAAGTTCCGCCACCCTTTGAACGCGAATACACACTTGGATACATTGAGACTCAACGTATTCTTATTTGGCATCCTGGATTTAGTGCCAATGACAAGAACCCCTCAGTTTTCTACTTCTGCGAGGTTGTTGGCAATCATTCCCATCAGATGGAACTTCAAGATCTTTACAACATGCTTTTCACAGGCGATGCGTTGCACTCGATGCAAAGCCATCCTGAATCGAGACAAACATCAAGTCTATGTCCGTGGTACAATTTTTTTCATCGTGAGCATTATTCATATCAGTCGAGTGCGACATCCTCCTTCGACCTCTCGTTTTTGTTTTCTGAAAAAGTGTTAAAAAGGCCCATAGTGACCGACGATTTTTGTCCGTGGTCTCATGTGGACGGAGGAGGTATTTGGGGCATCTTGCGTGGGCTGTTTTTTGAGCGACGACGACGACGAAATTGGACTGGGAGCACATCTGTGGAAAACAGTGTAAGTGGCCATGATATGGCTTTCCTCTTCAACACTAGTTTTGAAGTGGAGGATAGTGACGTTGACATAGAATATAGAGTTGACGAAAAAGAAGAAGAAGTGGAAGATGAAGAAGAGGCCGTACAAGCGATGGCAGAAAATATTGAGGCGGCGACACTGAAACCAGTAGGCGCAAATGAGGTGGAAGTGAAGGAAAATGTGGAAAAGTTGGAATCTAGTGGAGAAGATTCACTTTTGGAAGACCATATAACATCTGATGTTGATGGTGTTGATGAAGCGCAAAGTAACATTGGTGAAGTTGAAATTGGGGAAGTTACGGCTAATGAGCAGATCAATGTTCCTGAAGACACACAGTCATCGAGGTCATCAGGAACATACAAGCCGGGAGAGCCAGGCTCGTATGGGTTAGTCGACAATGCACGTATTACACGTGAGTACATCCATTGTGTGCAACAAGCCAACATGAAACTGCAACCACAGTGGCAGTGGTTATTCCGTCAATCACGTTGGCCTTTCCGATTCGCACCACAGCAGAAAGTTGATGTGTCTGTGCATGAAAATCGGATCCCGCCATGGAGAGCGAGTATCGGACGTCTGCTTTTGGATGTATGCAATTTTTGCAAACGAAACCGCCAAATGCAAAATCTCATTCTTCTCGATCCCATGGTAAGTGTTATCGTTCTTTACGTAATTTTTACGCTCACTATGTTGATGTTAGTGCAAACGAATCCTTAAACCTGAGATTATGGTAAATGTTGCTTTTACTCAACTGCTCGATTTCCCTTGCGGTTTGACACACAGAATGCAGTCAGAGTGGTGTGCGTGTTGATGTTGTCTGCCTGTTGGTGTGTAGCTTGAAGGGCCTAATTGCAAAAATGCAGCTAACTGATGTTTTCATTTTGCGTGTTTGTTATGCAAATGAACGGCGAATGCACTGTTTTTAATTGCAGGCTTTATCACCACTATCACCTCTGCTCAATCTGATGCGACACTCCGTGGAACCGAAAGCCCACCTGACAGGCGTTCTGTGGATGACCCCATTTGATGCCCTTTCCTTCTACCACGTCCCTATTCCTCGTCAAGATGTCGAAGGTGGGAAAGAGGTGGAGCACCCCTACCCCCGACCACTTTATCTGCGATTGCTAACTGTGGCCGCCTTTGTGTCCAATTGGTTGGCCTGGTTCTCTCGAATTGAGATCTATTCGTCACTGGGCAAGTCTCGCGTTCCGCCAGTAGCCGTGTCCGACCCCGTGGCAGGATGCATGTTGCAACCATACAGTTTGGGTTGTGGTCAGTCTCCCCTCATCGATCTGTGGCCACTTTGGTTGGCTCGACGACTGCTGCTCTTGCCCTTCCATCTACCTCGGCTGTGTGGCAGGCACATCTCACGACACTTCTTTCCCTTCACTGACATCGACGAAATATGATGCTAATTACTTCATTCTTTTATTTTGGTTATGTCTCCTATTCTATTCTTTTAACTGCCTTCTTTGTTAAATATTTGTATGCTGCCATGTTTGCATATAATAGTGATCTACTGGGCCCACTTTTGCAACCAGCTTTCTAATTTCGTTGTTATAGTTCTTCTTGTAATTCGGTACTTTATTTAAAAATGCCAGGAGGACATGGGAGAAATGTGCATGGGCTGTGTGGTTCAGTGAGTTAGATCGACGACTTTGCATACGACTGGCTGGTCATCGTGCATGTTACACCGCTTCAGCACACTGTGTAATTACCATCCAAATTGGCGGTGACTTGAGCTGTCTTGATTATGAGTTATTTTAATGGATGAGGAAACCTACAGTGTTTTGCTTAAAGATAGGTAATTTCTGAATAGCACTTAAAAAATTTTAAGTAATGTTACTTGGTATGAAGTAGCCAATTATTCATGATCGCCGTGTCTGCTTCGACTTTCAGTACATCCTTCTTCGTGTTGTTGGGCGCCGCTGACCAAATATCGACATCTGTGTCTCTCTCATTCAAAACATCCCAAAGTTGCTCCACATGTCGGTGTTCTACTGATTAGGAACCGTCGGTCCACCCAGACCCAAGTTGTTTAAGAAGCTCTACACTAAGAGAGTTGCTACTTCTGATTTCCCCGTAACTGTTCGCTCAATACTTTAGTCGAATTAGTGTGTTTGCTGTGGTGCAAATCAAGGCCTTAAGTAAGCAATGAAATGCACCAGTTCAGTTCTGAAAATCGGGTGAAGGCTCATGCAAAATTGCTCAAAAGCAATGCGCTCAAACGCCACAGTCAAACCAACATGAGAATAATCTACATGTGTTGATTGCCGGTTTCCTGAATTGTGCTGTAAATGAACATGCAACAATAATATGCATGATTGTGCACTCATATTTGCTTACTACGCACCAGGCGTAACACTCATGTAAAAACACGTTTAACTTTAGGCTTTCCGTTATCAAAATGAGTTGGTGTGAAGAGAGACATCAGCCGAGCCAGACCCTAACCAAATAAGCTAAGACGGCAACATGCGCATTCACGCTACAGATTACTACATAACCGAACAAAAAGTCCCTCTCATTCAAGGAAGTGCCTTGCATGGGAGCATGAAGGCTCTGAGAACGGCACACTAACCAACAAAACCTGAAGCCGTTCCCTTGCGGCTTGACTTGGCACGAAGCATCAACTTACTCTCATAGGAATAGCCTTAACATGCTTGCATGAGTTCAGTCACGTTGTGTCGTGTGGAGTCTATAAAAAATTAGTAAACCTTCTCGTCTCACAAAAGGCGGTCTAAGAAACCGCAAAAACTCTTGAATGAGGCTTTGAAGCGATTCAAACCAAAGGTCTAGAGATAACACCTTGTGCTGCACCAGAACATATCTCCTAGTTCCCACAGTTTGTCATGAAAATGGATAGATTCGTTAGTTAGGTATGTCACTTCTGCTATTGCCTCTAACGCGGATGCTCAGTTGGCAGTGGTGCGTCTGTTCCAGCCACATACTTGCTAATGTTCCATTTTGCCATGAAGTAAGCAGGTTGTTGATAACATTTTGCAAAAAAGATCCAAACCAGCAAGACCACAGGAATTCAATTAATTTTACTCTAACTTACCTGATCAAAGATCAAAAGCCGTTCTTGCTTCACGGTCAAGTGAGATGTTTCAATGCAATGAAAACGCAAGGATATTCTGAGGTACGATTAGGAAAACGGTTCGAAAACACCTGCTGCATCTCCAGCCTCGATGTGTTTCGGCTTTAGTCCATAAGTCAAACGTATTTAGTTTTTTCCTCTACGCTACCATGTAATACTGACTCTTAATCAAACATATGGGCTAGCATTTATGTACGGTATGGTTGGAATACCCAGAGATTGGGACTTACTTTGTGGACGTTTCAATTTGTAAGGGTATTGTAGTTTGAGAATAGAATAGGCTGAGCGCAGTCAACACATTGAATAATAATTTATCGTAAATTTGACCAGACGATAAAGACCGTGGGGCTAAAGCAGTCACTAAAACTGCATCCACGTTTGTTACGATAACCGGTGTAATTTAACGTGCCTAAGGAACGTGGACCAAAATGGATAGGTTATTGTTAATCCGTCCCTCTTAGATAGCCACGTTACCAATGTTAACTACCAGAATGGTAGGCGGAACCAGATGTGTTTAATACTAGCGAATACAAATGCAAAAAGGCGCGTGCCTACTGTGTATTTTAAATAGAAGCCTTAGTTCCAGGGGCTAAAAACGTGTAAGTTCAAAACTGCTGTGACGTGGATGTCTTTACTAACCTAGACGCTCCTACTAAATCACGGAAAATTCTGTTCGGTGACAATTGAGTAGTATTATAGTAACGAATGTATTTGTCACAAATTAAGAAAACATTGTAGAAATAAATAATCACGAGTCACGATTAAAAAAGAACTCATCTCGCCAGGTAATGTGACAACTGCCGCTGACTAACGTGGTCTGATACTTGGATTCATTCACTCTTTCGCTCCAGCGCTAAGACAATTGGCCAAGCCTACTGACTATGATAAAAAGGGGACAATACTGAATCATCAATCAACTGAAACAACACGTCACATTCATATGATGGCAAACAACTGAATCAAAACGGAAGAGACTGTGATGTCCCGGTGCCAAGGCCACACTAGACCATCTAGCCTCTGTGGTATTCAGTGTCAATGTAATGCTGAATTAAGTAAAATATAACAGAAATCGTCGCTTACCAAAAACCCCTCATGCAATATATCCCAAATTATTGCCGTTGTGGCAGTTTGATGGATTGTGTTAAATTGATGTAACGTACCCGATGACCAGCCACATAATAGGCACAAATTACCATCTAACTTACTGAACCTCAAAACGCATGCCCGATTAATCGGTATTTCGACGTTTTGAAACAAAGTATCGAGTTACCAACAAGATGACGTCAACACACAGCAGCAAGGTTAGTTGCAAAATTGAGCCTAGTGGATCATTCTTATGGATTAGCACAACGCCATGCAAATATATGGGGAGCAAATCGATTACAAGAATACGAAAAATGACAACAAAAATTCAATATTTGAGAAAAGTATGTCATATTACAACCAGGTCAGAAAAAAGAAATGACTGCAGCCAATTTCCCCGGTCACACAATTGAGGTAGGTGGGAGGGCAGCAGTAGCAGTCGTCGGGCCAACGAAAGCAACCACAAATCGATAAGGGGAGATTGTCCACACCCCAAACTATATGGTTGCAACACACATGCTACCATGGGGTCGGATACGAAAGCTGGTGGAACGCGAGATATGCTTAATGACCGGTAGACCTCGATTCAAGGGAACCACGCGGGCTGATTAGACACGAAGGCGGCCAGAGGGAGGAATCGCAGATAAAGGGATCCCGTGTAGGAGTGTTTCACCTCTTCTTCGGAATCCTTATCTTGACTTGGAATGGGGACCTGATAGAAGGGAGAAAGAGCAGCAACTGGTTTCACGGAATCTCGCATCAGATTGAACGGTGGTGAAAGCCTACAATTTCAACCAGGACATTTGACATTCAATTTTTTAGGGAAAGATGCAAACTAAGCTAATCTGTATAGTCAGTAAATACTCCAACTTTTCACATATAGGTTCACTTAGTTACCCAAGCCTGGAGATCATATCTTTGAGTTTATGTCCATCAAGCTGCGTGTTATGTGAAAATGTATGTCGCCGGGAGCATCCGTCTGACCAAATGACGAAATACACCAAACAGATGAGTGAAAGTCACCTTTTTCAAGTTATCATGTCTTATGACTCGCTTGCATTTCCATTGACACAATAAGACAATTTTGTGTCAAATCGCAATCGAGAAGGTCACGTGGGTTTGTGGGCTCTGAAATTTACTATTTAAAAACAATTGATCTATATTTTGATTGTTTACAAATGCAAATTCATGCGTAGACGATATGACACACATGGAGAAGAATTCCATGGACACCTACTCAAGAATCAACAAATAATGCACAACTCCTGCCATAGGACATAAAAAAATATGATTTTGCAGTTGGCAGTTTCCTGTACAAAAATTGCAGACATCTAAATACAGACACCTGACACTCGCTCGCCAGTATAGGATCGGTTTCTCACGCCCACACACATCAACATTCTGCTATGTTTTGAAACAAAAAGGCCATCGTGTCTGAGGGAAAAACCATTGCCACTGTGGCTCCATTCAAACATTAATTGCATACGTACGATGTAGAAAGTCAATTAGGCTAAACACATTGTCTAAAAAGGCATAAATCAGTCCTTCGTCATATGTTTTGAAGTCCTAGATGACTGTGCCTCTTCAGGAAAATGGAATTGATCAAGTGCTATCAAGTCTTCAAAATCAGGTTCAGATATATTGCTATCTTTTCATGTTTCTTCATTTTCCATTTCACCTTCATCTTACTTTTCTTTACATTCCTTGTCAGCGTCACTATCCTCAACTGCAACCCTGGTTTTGCGATGGGACGTCACGTTGTTGCCCTTTACATTGTCTTGAGGGGGAACATTCCATTCAATGCTTAGAGGCCCTCGTCTAGTCTTGTGCTACGTAACAATTCAAACCATTAAATTCGTTAGTCAGGATGGGACTTGTTACATTCTTCTCATTCTTCTTCTTCTTCTTCTTCCATGGACAGATATTTGATATTTGCCTCAATTCAGGATGATGCTGCATTACGTACAACACATCACCAGTTAGCAGCGTGTTGTAGAGATCCCCAAATTTC